GGATTGCGGCGATGGTAGTGGACGAAGTGGCGGTTCTCAAAGGAATCACTTCCGGCCATTTAGAGTATGCGTCGACGATGATGAGATAGTAGACGCCGTTGATTGGCCCAGCGAAATCCATGTGCGGCCGAGACCATAGTGTCTCTGATTTAGGTTATGGCGAAGGTGGTTGTCGAGCTGGGAGTTTTGCAGCTTCTTGGTAGCGAGAGCATTGGTTCACAGTCTGCTCTATGTCGGCGTCCATTGCGGGCCAGTATGCATAGCCGCAGGCGAGGGCCTTCGTTCTGGATATGCCAGAATGTCCGGAGTGGAATTGGCGAAGGACGGCTCGGCGGAGGGACGCAGGGACAACCACACGATCGGAACACATGACACCCGTCGACGACGAACAGGGAATGACGGCGTCGGAAGAAATGCGTGAGATCTTCAGCGGTGCTCTTCTGTAGCCAGGAGGTGTTGATGAGCTTCATCACCTTTCGGAGTATGGGGTCTCGCTTGGTTGCATCACATATTTCGGAGGCTGTGACTGAAAAGCCTCTGATGCTATCTGCCAGTTGACGTTGGACGTCCTCCTTGATTTGGACAGCTGCGATCACGTTGTCTTCATCGCCCGTTTGGTGGGTTCCGATGAGGCGTCCTTCGCCAATTCCATTCCGGACTTTGGAGTCAGGCCCGTCTGCTGTTCATCTCGTAAATATGTACAATAACAAGACTCCAGTAGAACAAGCCTGATGTGGATCCCGGTGGCACTGCTAGCTACCACCAAGATTGTTTGACTTTTATCGGTTCGAAACTTGCACGGATGAAAAATAGTGGTAGAGACCTAAATCTTTCGACCACCACCATCGGTTGTTGAGCTTGTGCAGATGCACATATTTGCTCAGGTTTCATCGATCAATGACCACTGGAAACCAAGGAGGAATGTATTGCGCGATTAAATGGTTTAACACTTGTGTGGTACCTTGAGACCTAACATGAATTAAAACGTGCAGCGTTGCTCACTGAGTGTCGATCGATCTGTTCATGTAACGTCATTGTCTGAAAATACTAGAAAATTGTTTCTACATGGTGAATAGGGTATTGCGATTTGTCAATTGAGTGGTATTTTCATCAGAACCACGGATTGTAGGAAGATCCAGCCCTTACCGTGATACAAGAGTTGCTAGTTATTAAGCGCCGAACCGGGTTCGCGAGTTTTCGGAGTCCTTACCGTAGATCACATTTAATGGGATTTCATTTTTCAAGTAATAATATTTTTGTACTTGTCCTTATGTTTCATGGTGCTTCCTCCATTTCACGTTTACGTTCTGTCTCATCTTTCCTAACAAATGGTAGTCGAACCAAGGCTTGCAATCTGATCTAATTTCCATGACCGTGACGTGGCGCGCCGCTTCAGTTAAGTTTGAGGTAGATATCAGTTGATTTTATGCTCTACATATGATACTGATGAGGTGGAAGGTCAAGGATAAAATGCTTTTATCTTTAATTTTCAACGAATGCCTATCAGCAGGATTATGAAATTTGAAATGTCTACGTTTTGTCTCATCACTGGTTTAGGCTCTTGTACGAATTTGAACGTCAGATACGCACAATTGATTGTATCCCTGGGAATGTGCATTAAGAGACTGACATTTACAGCACCAGGTGATGGAGTCATTAAAACAAAGACGTGGTGATCAAATTTGATGACATTTGTTGCCCAGAGCCAAGAAATCACTTGACAATACTTAAAATAAGATTTCAGATGGTCTCGTTTTCGAGTGGATGGTAATATGCAGGACCGACCCCAGTTCTGAATCCACTCGAAATACACTGGCAGATTGATTCCGGGCAACGCAGACCGAGTTCTTATACAATTAGCATCTTCGCAAAAGGCCGCACAATCCCTGGCCACTCACTAACGCTCTCAGTACACCGGTAGGATACACTTCTCACAGTAGGTTCTCCGTGGAGGGGGATTTCAAACGACCTGCAAGACAGGAAAAATGCGAAGTGCAACCATGAACCGAAAGGTCCTGTGAGACATGCATTCAGTTCAGTTCAGTTGTAACAACCATTAACCATGCACTTTCGCGCGCCGGTTTTGGTTGCCCATTTGGATAAAAGAGCGAAATGAAGATTGGAATGTCGAAGCAAATTCGAGCAGAAGATGGGGAATTCATATAAAGTGGTGTTAGGAA